GATACAATAAAGTTTTAAGTATAATTTTGGCCAAAATTATGTTAATTTTTGGCCGGAATTATGATATACTAATATAAGAAATTTTTTATATAGTCACATCTCTTTATAATCACCAAATATGGACTGTCCTAAATGTGTGACTATAAAGAGAGTTGACTGTATATATCTATAACTATTGATCAATTTTGAACTTATTTTAAATAGGAACTTTTTTACATTTTTTTAAAATAATTATATCTAAAAATTAGGCCAATTTTAAAAAAAATAAAAAGTACTAAATGTATAAAATAAATTATGTTTTATATAATCTATAATTATAAATGTTACTGAACTTGTAAGGTAAAAATATATGTGATTTAAAAATGTAACTGGAAAGGAGGTAAAATTACTTAGTAGAAGGAAAATTTGGAGTAAGGTAAATTTACATATAAATCTTAAAAATTTTACGGTGACCTCTATTAGAAGTAAGCAGGGTTCTGGTTATCTCTATTAATAGAAGAAATACAATACAATTAGACTTAAATTAAAGATATGTTAACTATATAAGTAAACTTAGAATAATGATATCTAAATAACATCATTAAAAAATATTCCAGTAAGGTAGTTTCCAACCACCTAGTTTCTCTATTAAGAAAAATTTTAAGCAACACTTTTCAATATACTATTTGATTTTAATGATAATTAATGACTACAAAGCTTTTAAAGTTTTTATTACAGAGAATTGTAAATGTAAACTTATAATTTATTTAGAAAAATAGGAAAAAATTATAACATTAATGCTAAAAAACTAAATTAGTGCTGCCATACTTTTTTTCAATTTACTAAAAAATTCAAAAATAAGTTAAAAATAAGATAAATTTAAGGACTTCACAACATCTCAAAAAAAGAATCCCAATCTTAAGAATAAAGTTATAGGTATTAATCAGATTTTTTTAAATATTTAACTATAATAAGATCAAAAAACTAGAATAATAATATAAGAGGATCTTTTAATCAGAACTGCAAATCTAAACCTAAACTATAAAAATAAAATTAAAGGAGACATTAAAGAAGCTAATAAACAGGATATAATTACTAAAAAGCTGTTGATTAGTTTATTAAAAAGTTAATTTTTAATTTTATATAGATGTAAATAGTTTTAATTTTTTATTTGTTTTACAGATAGAAATTTTAGTTTATTTCAGAAATTTTTTTTATTCTAATTAGTTAGTAATAATTTTAGATTATCTGAAGTGTTTTTACTATTATTACTACTAATTACCATATTTTTTCCTTTTACCTTAGTTCATATTCATAGAGTATATCTTACTTTACTTTTAAAGTTTAATTGTGTAAAAATTATCTTTTATTTTCTGTACTAAAATCTATCAGCAGTATTAATAAGATTTGACCTATTCTTTTTAAGAATAATTTTTTTTTAAAAAAAAAAAAAAATTAATAATATATTTTAATATTTATTATAAAATTTTAAAATTTTAAAACTAATTCATTGATTTTTATTTTATAAATATAAATATTAATAAATATTTGATTTTAAATAATAATATTAAAATATATATATAAAATTTTATTTCAAATTTCAAATTTATATATAATAATTATTATTAAAAAAATTTTATACCAAATTTTTTATATACATTAATATAAAATAAATTAATTTTATTTTTAAAAATATAATTAATTAATAAAATAAGTCATTAAATTTTATATTGAAAAATCAACTACATTTCTTATTTACTGATCACTTAGCCATTTTTCCAGAAAAAGTTATTAAAGGAAAAGTTTAAGCTTTTCTCACTTAAATGATTGTAAAGTACTTTTAAAGTTATTTAAAGATTTCAAGAGAATTTTTTTAAAACTTAAATAGACCTTTAACTTTTTATTTTGGTGGAATTACTTAACTTGGAGTAATTCTTATCAAAGATAATTATACTTCTATAAAACTTTCTCTACCAGATTTTTAAAAGTTGTAATAGTTACACATTAGGTAACTAAACTTTAAACTTTATATTAGTGTAAAGATTTCCTGTTATTTTCTTTATTTTTGAAAGCATTTGAAGGTCTTTTTGTGAAGTATCAGTTGAAATAAAAGTAATTACAAACTTTTCCTTTATATTTAAAAGGTTGAAGTTGTAGGCAGAAATGTTTATTATCTTCTTTATTCAGTTTTTCCCTTTAGAGTTTTTAAAGATTATGACTTTCTTTAGATTTATATAAATTGGTCTAATTAGAAAAGCTGATAGAATTGCTAGATATTAGTCTAATTTAAGTTAATTAGCAGAAAGTTTTTTTTCCAAATTAAATTTTATATATAAAAATTTTATTTGTAAAATATATACTAAATTTATTATTAAAAAAAAAAATAATAAAAAAAGAATGTTGTAAATAATATATAACAAGTTATTATAAATACATTTATTCTATTTTTATATTTTATTGTACTATATTTTTCTAATATTAAGCACCATCCTTTTTTGCAGGAATTTTGTGCAAAAAATGCTTAATTTTGATAGCTTTAAAAAAATGTCTTTTAAATATCTTTAAATCAATTTTAAAAAAGTTTTGGTAGTTAGATTCTTTTATTTGTAAATATATTTTTTCAATAATAATGTAATTTTATTTTTTTAATAATATAATAAAATTAATACCATATTTTATTGAAATTAAATATTCTTAAAAATAAGTACTCCTATAAACTTTTCAAAATTTTTTATGCAAAAATTATATATATTTCTAATAAAAATAATATCAAAAATAAGCACCACCCCAAAATTTTCGTTCAAAATTCTTGCAAAATGAAAGTGCTTAATTTTGATAAAATACGGTAAGTAGTTTATATTTAATATTTTGCAAAGTAAAGGAATATTTAATTTCAAGAGGTGCTTAATATTGGAAAAATATGATATTTTAGAATAGTATATTTTTAAAGTGTTTATTTAATTATTAATTAAATTATTTTTGTATTTAAAGTTTAATTATAATTAAATTAATTTAAATCAACCTTTTTATTATAATATATAAAATTTTATTTTTATAAAATCTTAAAATTTTTTAATTTTATATAAAAATTTGAAAAAAAATATATTTATATAGTATTAAAAACTAATATTGCAAAAATTTATTATAAAAATATTATTCTTTTAAGACTCATATATATAAAATTGACTTTAATTAATAAGTAAAATCACAGGTAAATTTATTTGCAAAATACTTGAAAAATAATATATAATAAATATTATAAATTTTATAATAAGATATTGGAAATTGCAAGTTAAATAAAGTAATCTAAATGTAGTATACTTTATATAACTATTTATAATAAAGATATATTATCATTTTTAAAAGAAAAAAAAAGAAACAAAAAATTATTTTATTAGTAGATAATTAATATAATAAGTAAAAATAGATATATAAATGAATAATTAGATAATAAGTAAAATTTTTAGTATTTGGTAATCTTTACATTTGTATATATATTAAATTTTTTACTTTTATACTTTTATTATTTTCTATTCTAATATGGTTAGTTAAGTAAAAAATAAAGTTCAATTTATTATTATTATAGTTGCAATATTTTTTTAAAAAAAATAAGAAGTAAAGAAATTTCTATAATTAATTTTTATAAATTTAACAAAATAAATATAGTAGAATTTAATAAAATAAATATTTGCAAACCAAAATAAATATACAATTTAGAATTACTGTTTTTTTTATATTTGAATCAGATTCTTAGAATTTATCATTTATTTTATTTATTTTCAAGATTTCCTTTTTAGTTTAAAAATTCAAAATTTGTAAGAATTTCATATCTCTTTATATTGCAAATTTAAAGATTATATTTAGTTATATTGAAATTTTAAAGAATTCTACATTAAATATAAAGAACCTTAAGAATTCTGGAATAAAAAGAATCCCTAAGAATAAAGAATCACTTTTAATTAAATTTATTTTAATAAAATTTGTAATAAAAATAAATCATTTATTTTATATTAAAAATGACTTTTATGTTTAAAAAAAAAAAAATAGTTTTATTGCAATAATAATAATAAAAAACAAAGATTATTTTAATTGCAAAAGCATAATTAATTTAGATATTTCTTATTTGCAAAACAAACCCTTTTTTTATATTAATATAATTATTACTTATTGGAATAAAGTTATTATATTAAAACAAAAGATGCCGGTAGCGTAAAAAAAAAAAAATATAGAGGACAAAAAAATTTCAAAAAAAAAACTTGATTTTAAGTTTTATAATAGTGCATTTGTATCACAACAATAAATTTCCAAAATTATACCGTACACAAACACGAAAAAAAACTGGACCTACAAGTAAAACACATGTGATTATAATAAAATATATTACCCCATAATAAATGATAATCCAATGCATCAAAAAAAAAAAAAATTGAAACCACTTTTTCAGTAACCTAAAAGCAAAGCCTTTTCTAAATAATTAATGTTAATCTCTTTTGATCCTTTTTCCTCCTCGATTTTTTTTAGATAAATTATTAAATTATTATAATTTATAATTATCTTAGCGATGGCAATTATATCTTTCGAGATACTAAAAAAAATTAAAATTTTAAAATTTAAATTGTTTAATAAAATCACAAAATTTTTTAGATTGTTTTTTTAACCTTTTAATAATGATGTTTTGGAACAAATCTTTTTTTAAACGTTTTATCCGATGTTCAGTTACAAAAAAAAAACCAACACCGCAGTAAATTTAAAAATTCCCCGTCTCAACCGAAAATAGTTCGTTTAACATCCACACTCAATCATCGTCATGATCAGGTTTATTTATTTATTTATTTTTATTTATTTTTACTTTTGATTATTTTTTTTTTTTTTT